CAATAGTATTCCATTCCATTCATATGCCACAACTTATTCAGCCATTCCCCAATTGATGGGCATCCTCTCAATTTCTAATTCTTTGCTACCATAGAAAGAGGTGCTATAAGTATTTTTGTATATGTAGGTCCTTTACCCATTTTTATGATCTCTTTGGGATAGATCTATAAGTGGTATTGCTGGGTCAAAAGGTATGCAGTTTTATAGCCCTTTGGGCATAGTTCCAAATTGTACTCCAGATTGATTGGATCAGTTCACAACTCCACCAACAATGCATTAGTGTTCCAATTTTCCCACAACTTCTCCAACATTTATCATTTTCCTGTTTTGTCATGTTGGCCAATCTGATAGGTGTGATGTGGTACCTCAGAGTTGTTTTGATTTGCATTTCTCTAATCAATAGTGATTTAGAGCATTTTTCATATGACTATAGATAGCTTTAATTTCTTCATCTGAAAACTGCCTATTCATATCCTTTGACCATTTATCAATTGGGAAATGACTTGTATTCTTATAAATTTGACTCACTTCTCTATATATTTTAGAAATGAAGTCTTTATCAGAGACACTGGTTGTAAAAATTGTTTCCTAGCTTTCTACTTCCCTTCTAATATTGGTGGCATTGGCTTTGTGTGAAAACTTTTCAGTTTAATGTAATCAAAATTATCCATCTTGCGTTTTATAATGTTCTCTATCTCTTGTTTGGTCCTACAGGTCTGTAACATTTTCACCCCTCCTCTAGTGTTTTTTAGTACCCTTAAAGGAGTTGGGGCCTGTCTAGTTTCTTTGCCATTGGCTTGAATTACTACCAGTTATGTTCCCTTGGTTTTACAGGGTCCTGAAGCAGCTAGATGGTGTAGTGGATAGAGTGCTGGGCCTGGAGTCAAGAAGACTCATCTTCCTGAGTTCAAATCTGACCTTAGACACTCATTAGCTGTTTGACCCTGGGCAAGTCACTTAATCTTGTTTGCCTCAGTTTCTTCTTTAGTAAAATGAGTTGGAGAAGGAAATGGCAAACCACTCCAGTATCTTTCCCAAGAAATTAGGGTCACAAAGAATCAGACACAACAACAGAAGTACCCTACTTCCATTTAACCCTTAGATTAGATTTTACAAATGAATATTTACTTCAAAGTAATAGCAAGAACAAACATATAAGCATTCCCTGTCTCCCTCCCCGAGCACCCTGGGGAGGCATAATCCTTTCTATGTCCCTTGGGTCTCTGAGAAGGTGGAGTCACAGCTTAATCAATTCCTATGATGGGGTTGGGATCTGGGCCCCAGAAAGGAAAAATCCTGGACTTTCCCAATGGCCAGATCTCTGGCTTTCGCCTGAGGCTATAATCCTATCAACTGGCCTTTCATTGTGGCTACTAATGCTCAGACTCCTTAAGAGTCTGCCCCATATGATGGATGTTCTAATAAACCTTGCCTTTGGCTGAAAGAAGGCTTGGGTTGAATTCTTTGAGGCAGGACCCACGTGTTGTGATACTGGGTCCAAGCACCCCTGAACCTCTAAACTGCCTCACCTATATAGCACAGCCCAACCACTTCTTCCCCTGGGCTTGTGTCTAGGCACCCTGGCTTCTTATGGCTTCCCCGCTGGGCTGGTAGCAACATTTAGCTTGGAATATTGGCTTTAAGGGTTGCTATGTCTTGAGCTCTTGGGTCCTAGGGACTCTACCACCTACACCTATAACTGAAAAGGACAAATGAAACAACCCCAAACACCAAGCTTGATTCTCAGAGCCCATAGTGCCTAAAGGGAGAGAGGAATGGGAGCCCTTCTCCTCACCCATCTTAGTCCATGCTGTGAGTGAACAGGACCTTTACCCTTGGATGCAGTTTGAAATAGGAAGAGGGAGACCCTCCCAACCTGATAGTTGTTATTTTTTTTTTCAAATGCAGCCTATAGTAGCTATGTAGTCAGTGAATTAGTTAGGAATGTAGATGAAACATTTCTTCTAATAAGGTCATTTCATGTATTATCATAGTTTATTCCCATAATTATGGCTTAACAAAGTTCATTTTCTCATCATGTGTTTTATAAAAACAAAACTGAATTAATTGAGCTTATCTTTATTACAGTTCAGCTTAGAGTGAGAAGCAAGAAAAATATGATCACAATTTACTACTGTATGTGTCTGTAATGTTTACTGTATTAATGAGGACATTTTGTACTAAATTTGAGTTCAATATCTTTTCCACATTGCAGTTCAATCCATAAATTTTAAACTCTACATAATTAAGGCAATAAATATAATCTAGGGGGTTATTCAATTGAGCTTTTGCTTTAAATATTTTCGAAAAGTCATGTTTGCCATGACTGAATAAAATATTTTGGGTAACTGTCAAATATAATTTGGTGAGCCATACATTCCACAATAGTTTTAAGATGTGTCCTTTTCATATTTTCAGAGAAATTCTGGCCAATAGACACTCCTATAAGAGAACTTCTCCATTTTATACATCAAGTTTACTATCATTTCAGTTTCACTCTATATAATAATAATAGTTAACATTTATGTAGCACTTCCTATGTGCTAGGCTCTGTGCTTTACAATTATTATCTTATTTGATTCTCAAAATAACACTGGGTGGTAGGTGCTCTTATTGTATCCATTTTGTAGATGAGGAAACTAAAGCAAACAGAGGTGAAGTGACTTGTCTTGGGGTTAAAATAATGAGAGAATAATGAATCATATAGATACTGGAGTTTTGGAATTTACTTAAATAGACCTGTCCCCTTCACCGATACTTGGGCAGGGGGGAAGGGGAAGTTGGTGTCTTCTTAGGGTTTCCAAGCCTATAATAACAATGTTGAGGGATGCATAGTAATGAGAGACACTGTGAAAGTTAGGGCTCCTCCTTGTAGAAGGAGGAGAAAAACCTAGTTTTAGTTGTAGCATAACATTGCCATGGAGACACCACTCGGTGTCTATTAGTCCACAGCATGTTTAAACAAGGATTTCTGGGAAAAGTTTTTCTAGAGAATTCTGGAAAAAAGATGCTGGAAAGAGGAGGAGTAAGGAAGCAGAATTCAAATCCATATGACAACCTTCATTTGGCATGTTATATAATTAGATGGATAGATAGAAAGATGGATGGATAGACAAACAGATATAGATTAAAGGATTTATTAGCTGCTTGCTATGTGTCAAGCACTGTGCAAGCACTGAAAATACAAATATAAATGATCAAGACAGTCCTTGCCTTCAAGAATCTTACATTCCAATGGTGGACAACACACAAAGAGAAGCTGAAAGTGGGGAGGTGGAGGTGGGAGGTACCTAGAAGTGCTGTGAAGGTCTGGAACCAAGCAAGGCGTGGCTAAAGCTGACCTATCAAAGCCCCCAGTAGAAGGTCAGAATCCAATTTTTCCTATGGAGTAAAGGGGGTCTAAATAGAGATGACATAGCTGGAGATAGCTATGTGGGGAGATGCTAGGTTTCCGGGCATTTTATTCCTCTAGCTCTCACAATCCAAGAGACTATGATGAATCTTTGAATGAAATTGGAGCTATGAGACTGGAGAATGATAGTGAAAATGAAGAAGAGATGTGGGAACTCTGACCATTGGTAAGAAAGACCAGGGATTATCCTATTACAGTTTCTGGAAAGAGGGTAATTTCCTTCTCTGAGGGAGTAGGGAGTGGGCAGTCTTTCACTACCTAGGAACTGGGGAAGGTTGCAAAAGAAGTTCAAACAGCAGCCTGATGAGTCACTAAGGCAATGGCTCCTGAGGGTGTGATCTAATGGAACCATTTTGGATACTATCTTCACTATCTAAACCTAATCCTGTCCTAGAGGGAGCTTTGGGTGTGGTTCCTCAAACTGAGAATAGATAAGAAAGCAATTGATGCCCAGACTACGAGAGTGCTAAAAAAAAAAAAAACTGTATAGGGAAATCTAGCACCTTTAGGGTGCCCTTTAGCTCCACCATAGTTTAAGGCATTCTCTTAAAGCTCTTGTCCCATTTCTACCATACCAGAGAGACTATGGAGGGCAGACAATGGACAGAAAGGATGGGAGGCAGTATCTATGCAAGCTCTTTCAGCAAGCAACCTCTATGTAGTTTATTGTGAGTATGGCCCAGTGGAAATCCTTGTAGTTGCCTATTTCATCCTGTATAGTTAATACCAAAAAATATCAGGTTGCTATGGAATTGGTGGAGATGAAGGATGCTGCAGTGTTTTGTTGTGAAAGCTCTCTTTAAAACAGCCCTCTGTTGCTCACAAAGAAGGCAGATAGTACCTGGTAGCTTATGGTCAACTTCAAGGAGTTAAACAAAATTGTCATGTCCATCACTACAATTGCTCCTAAACTTGTCAATGTCACTGACTAGGTAGCCTAGGTCCAGGGTAAATGAATGGTATGGGGTCGCTGACTTTTTTTTTGTTGTTTCTTTTCTCTCTCTCCGGCTGAGACTGGTAAGGAGTAGTTTGCTTTTATCTGGGAAGGAGTCCAGTGTACCTTTCACTATCTTTCCTGAGGGCTATCTGAATTCTCCCTCTTAAATGACATATAGTAGGCAGAGATGTGAAATAGGCTTCTCTTCCTGATCTATATGGATGACATAATGCTGACTAGGCTAAATGAGGTCACTGGGGTGGAGGACCTATATTCTATGGAGGCCCATATGAAGGACAAGGGGTGAGAAGTCAATCCTAAAGAAAATTTAGGGTCTAACCCTCTTGGTCAAGTTTTGGAGAATATGATGGGTGGAAAAAACCCAGAGGATTCTAGGCACAGTCCAGCTTTTCCAGAACAAATCCTTTTATTAAGGGGATTTGTTCTGTGAAATTTGGATTCAGTCAAAGGGCTGCACTTGAGGACCTAGAAGGCCACATGTGGCCTGGAGCACACAGGTTCCCCACCCCTGATTTGACTCTCACTTCTCCACAATCTAAGAAAGAAGACTAGAGACTAACTGGACTTTTCAAATTTTGGAGAACCCATATTCTTCACCTGGGTATTACAGTGAACCCCACTTACCAAGTCATCCACAAGTCAGCCTCTTTCAGGTGGCATCCAGAATACGCTATAGTCCTGGAAGCAGGATGTCCAGCAGTCTCTTCCCTTGGACCCTTATGACAATAGAAGGCTCATATTTCTCTCCATGAAGACCAAGCTGAGTGGAACCTTTGAAAGCACGAAGAGGTGGCCAGAATAAGTGACTGTTGCTGTCTCTAAGTTCTCCAAAGTGGCCTACCCACCACATCTCTTCTGAAAAGCAGTTGCTTACTTGTTACTGGGCTCTATTTGCTACTAAACAGATGACACAAGGCACGCAATAACCCTTTGTTTAGAGTGGTCTATTATGAGTTGTGATGCAAGACTGCTTCTCTTAGAAAACGCACAGGACAAAGGAGACTTCTTTTGTTAAATGGAAGTGGCATGTTAAAAATGATACCTACCAGGGTTATTCCAATGTTTGTGCTCTTCACAAATGGGTTGTGGTTTTTCTAGAGACTTGAGGTCTCCAGTTCAGGTCCTGGAAGCCTACCTTCTTTGCTAATACAACAGGCCTCCACTATAAGGACTTGGCTTCTGAGGAATGCATTTTGCCTGGTTTATTAATTGTTCAGTCTACTCTGAAACAGCAATATACAACTGGACTTTAGCATCCACTAATTGGCTAAGAGGGAATACTTTAAGGAATGGGTGTTGTAGTGAGTCCTCCCAGTGTGCTAAGCTTCTGGCTTCCTGGCTAGAATATAAGAGAAGGTAGATTTGGCATCTGATGTGACTCTCAAAGAGGGAGACATACTGGTGAGTGAATCAGGGAATCCTGAGTGGGTAGCAGTATTGAGAAAGCCTAGGTATCAACTTAGATCTTAGGACAACTTGAATGTAAGAGGCTTATGACCTCTCAGCTGCTTTACTACAGATGACCCTGATGCATGATGAAGAATTGTTGACTAAACTGGAGATATCATCATATATGCTGTTATTAATAATCCTGGTGCTGTTCCTGTTCATAATTACCATCAGGAGAACCCCTGTAAACTGCAAAGACGATTTCGCTTCACCTCCTTCCTAACCCCCAAGGACTAGATAGATTACTTAGAATTTGAAACTCCATCTTCCTAAAGCAGGGGTGGGGAACCTTTGGTCTCCAGGCCACATGTGGTCCCCTAAGTCCTCAAGTGCAGCCCTTTGACTGAATCCAAATTTCACAGAACAAATTCTCTTAATAAAAAGATTTGTTCTGTAAAACTTGGACTCAGTCAAAAGGCCACACCCATGGACCTAAAGCCTAGGATTTCTGGCATTTGTCCTGCTCTGCCTTTTTTTTTCATCTTTTAATTTTTTGGCACTCTTTTAGAGTGCCTGTTAAATTTTTTTATGTTGTTCTTTGTTTTCTTTTTAGCTCATTTTTCTCTAGTACTGACTATGCCAGGAAGATTATCTAGTAATGGCCCTAAAGGTATTTAAATGGTGGAAAGTCCTTTTGGAGATCCTTAGGACATTACCAAAATGGTGTCATACATGATAGGACCACTATTTACCAGAGTTAGACATGGCTTAGGCTATTTTTTCCTTGAAAGGCAACAAGCTATTCTTGGGATTTCATTGGATCGGGAGCCCAAGGCTCAAACTATGTCTCCCTTAACATAGCTTTCTGGTAGCCTCTGACCACGTTGGTTTCTTGGTCACCTAAGAGCACTCATGGAGTTGGAGCCCTGTTCTAGTTGTCACACCATGCTTTGCTGACCAGAAACCTTTCTATATAGAGATGCAGGGCCATTTCCAGGCATCCTGATCTATATTTTGCCACTGGACCCAGATGGCTCCAGGGGAAAAATTGAGGCTAGTGACTCTGCACAGCCCTCCCTCACTTAAATCCAATTCACTTACAAATCATGACATCATCTTCCTAATGTCATGGTCCTCTTCAAGAAAGAAGGAAGCAGGATGTCCAGCAGTCTCTTCCCTTGGACCCTTATGACAACCACACAGAGATGGGGATGGGGGGTGTCATGAGTACCTACCTTTAGAATATTATCGGAATATAGAATATTTAGAATATTATTTGAATATAGAAAATTATTTCAATGCTATGACTAACTAGACCACCTTTCATTAACTGTAGAGTGACCTGCAAATGACTCCATTTCATTCCAATATTAAATCTGAATTTAATGGTTTGAATAGAATACTGGCTTGAGACGAACTTGCCTCTAATGCTAAGGTTCTGTTCTAGACTCTCTTTTCTTCTTTTTCTAAACTGTTTTAATGACCTCATCAGCTTTCATAGGTTCAGTTATCATTCCTATATGGATCTATATCTGTGTATCCTTCCTTTGTCTTTCTCCTCTGCTCCAGTCCTGTATCAACAACTGCCTACTGGACATTTTCACCTGACTATGCTGTAGTATTCTGAAAGTCAATAAGTCCAAAACTGAACTAATTTCATTTTTCTCCCAAATCCACCCCTTTTCCTAATCTCCTTGTCCCTGTTCTATGAACTATCATTCTTTAAGTCATATAGATTTGCAACCTTGGAGATATCCTTCTTTCCTCCTTCTCTTTAATCCTCCATATCCAACCCATTTCTAAGTTCTGTTGATTTTACCTCTATAACCTTTCTTGCTTTACTCCTCTTCTCTCTACTCATTCAGCCACCACCATAATTTAGGCCATCATTGCCTCTCTTATGGACTATTGTAATAGTATTCTAACTGATCTTCCTATTTAAAGTGTTCCCTCATCAATCCATCTTCCACACAGCTGTCAAAGTAGGTATTTGTAAAATACTCCGGTGGCTCCCTATTAACTCTAGGATCAAATACACATGCCTTTGTTTGGCACTCACACTGCTTCACTGTCCCCAACCTATTTTTCCATACATTATTTTCTTCATGCTCTTTATAGTCGAGCCAAACTGGCCTTCTGAGTATTCGTCATATACACGTTCCATTTCTCGTCTCTATCCCTTTGCATAGATGATCTGCCATTTCTAGAATGTGCTCCTCCTTCACCTTCACTTTTTAGAACCCCTAGTTTGCTTCATTGTTCACATCTAATATCTCCCACACAAGAACTTTGCTGATCCTCCCATCTACTAATGCACCCTTCCCCCAATTACCATGTGTCTTTTTGTATATATTTTGTGTGTTGTATCCCCCAGTAGAATGTAAGCTCCTTAAGGGCAGGGACTGTCTTTTGTCACTGTATTCTCAATGGCTTTTGATTGACTGATGAAATTAAAAAAACCCTTGGATTTGAATCATACTCCCTTATTATCTGTGTGACCACAGACAAGTCAGTTTCTGTTTTCTTTTCAATAAAATGAGAATAATAATACTTGTATACCTATCTCACAGGGTGTTATAAAGATCAAATGAGAAAATATATATAATACTAATAAGTAACATATATGGCATTTTGAAGTTGAAAAATCAGTTTACATATATTTTCTCATTTGAAGTATTTTGTAAATCTTAAAGGGTTAATGTGTTGTTAGGGATCCTGGTAACAGGTGGAAAGGCTGGCTGGCATCATTCTAAAAACCCATAGGCAAAAGCTGAGGGAATAAAATGCCTAGGCTCTAACAGCGCCAAGCCACTTTCCACCCAAAGACAGTCCAGCACTGACAATGGGAAGTCTCCTTGCAACTCAGTGGGAATAAAGGTCTCTATCTTCCTGCTCAGACCACCACCCTGTCCCTTCCCATTGATTACTGTGTGTTTGTGTGTGTGTGTGTGTGTGTGTGTGTGTGTGTGTGTGTGTGTGTGTATACACACACTGCTGTGCCACTGGATTGTACTCCTCAGTCCATTCCCACCCCTGAAAATTCTCCTGAAAAGCTAATAAACTGTTGTAGTGATCAGCATTCCTGATGTCTCTCCTTCCTTGAGGAATCTGAACCCACTGGCTAGTTCAGCCAGCCCAAACAACTCTTATTATAATTGGGGTGGGTCAGGGATGATCTGGGTTCAAATCTTGTCTGATACCAACTGGTTGTATGTGAGCAGGTCAAACAGCTTAACCTCTCTGACTTTCTGCTTTCTCACTTGTAAAATGAAGGTAATACCTACTTCACAGTGTGGTTAGAAAAAAAAAGCCCTTCACACTTTTTTTTTTTATGTTTGGCTAGACAATGGGGTTAAATGACTTGCCTAGAGTCACACAGCTAAGTGTTATGTGTCTGAGGCCAGATTTGAACTCAGGTCCTCCTGAATCCAAGGCTGTGCTCTACCCACTGCACCTTACCTGCCCCACTCTTCACACATTTTAAAGCATATATATGTAAATCACTCTCATCAAGGGAAGCAGCCAGCCCTAAATCAAGTTTAACTTTGTGCTGTACCAGTTCCCAGTGCTGAGGGGAACCCAAACCTGCTAGTAAGGATAGCCAAGTGGTCACTCTCTGTTAGAGGGAGAAGCCTCAGTATTTCTGCATTGTAAACCTAAGAATCTTTAGAGGGGCTTCAGAAAAGCTTCTTAGTCCACCAACTTCCTTCGAATTGTAGATTTAGAGCTGGAAGAGACCTCAGAGCTAAATCAGCTTCTTATTTTATCTGTGAGGAAACTATCCTTAGCAGATCTGGAAAAAAAAAAGTTTGAATCTATGGAGAAAGTAATACTAATTAATTAATTATGCATACCACTTATCACTTATGCCTAATTGTCATACTAGCATACCATTAAATATTTATCAAATTATTTTGTGTTGTAAATTTTGTGTGATTGGAATACCACAATACCAAATTTTGTTCTCACATACAGTACTTGTTAGACTCTGAGGACTGCAGTGGAACAACACAAATGTTTCAGGAAGAGGGCACAGCAGAGCTTCCTGTAGTCTGTTGTTAGTTTTGCATGGGGCGTGGTGGTGGTTGGGTTTACTTAAGAGGGTCAGCGTGCTCCTTCCAGGCCAGTGAGAACAGCAGGTGATTGTAGGCTGTCCTGGTGTGGTTCTGAAATCAGGGCCCTGGACGTGTTTGTGATGGAATATGAAGCAGTTACTTGAATATGTTCTTTTGACTGAGGTATGGAAAGAAAGTAATGACTCATTAAGCCTAAAGGAGAGTGAGTCAGTACAGGTGTGTGAGGAACAGTACCTGGATATAACTGGGGTGTGGTCACTTAGAGTAGAGAGATTGCACCTGGGTTTGTGACCTTGGGAAGTGTGACTATCTTTCTTGTTGGGCTCTAACAAGGAACAAGTACTCCCTGGGTATAAACCCTAGATCCTAGTGAGCTATAATTAATGGAGATTAGTCAGAGTTCATATTGTACCACTTATCTGAATTAGTATTTTCTGACTTCTATGTAATTTCTGCGGAGAAAATTGAGCCTGAAACGTCAGGGGAGAAACCAAGTGGAACTTGGTGAATGAACTAATGAGCGTTTGTGAGGATTCATAGCAATACTCAGTTTTGGCCATTTATTACTCATAAAACACATCTTCATTTCCAACTCAAACAAGTCAAGGAAATGTTTCACCTAAGCTGAGTAAGAGCTTGTAGAACTGTCTTAAAAGGCAAGTCCACCATGGTCACACTTACTAAGTGTAAGGCATCTATGATATGATGAAAGAGGTCCTGCCCTTAAGGGATTTAATGTACTTTGGAGATATGATATATATACACAGACAAGTAATTTGAAGAGGAAAGCATTAACAATTGAAGAGATAGGGAAGACTTCAGGGAGAGGTGGAAGCTAAGCTGAATCTTCAAGGAAGTTAAGGATTCTGAGACCCCATTGAGAGGAAATACTGAATTTCATGTGTCAGGGACAGATTGAGAAGGCAGAGAGAAGGGAATTCAGGGAATAACTGTGTGTGTGTCCAATTTGGTGGAAATATAGAGTGCATAAAGGGGAGTAATATGAAACATCTGAAGAAGTAGGTTGGCATAGGTTGGATTGTGGAGGATTTGGAGTCCCAGGTTGAGGAGATTGTATTTTATCCTAGAGGTAATAGGAGGCCACTAAAACCTTTGGGTTTTTTTAAAAAAAATTTTATTGGTATCTTTTAATCTTTACATTGCCTTTATTTCTGAATATATTCCTCCCCCATCTCTTACTTAGTGAATTGTTCTTTGTAACAAAGATAAAATGGAGGACCAGTGTATGACTGAAAATGGAGGCTAGAGTTATCAGCTCAAATCCCACATTTTGCAAAGGCCATTTCCTAGTTTCCCCTTCCCCAACTCCACCTTTTCCTCTAAGATTGCTTTCCATTTACACTGTATATGTTTTATATATACCATTTTGATATGTTTATTCTTCCATTAGAATGAAGTCCTTAAGGACGAGGACCATGTTTTAGTTTTTCTTTGTGTCCCTAGCATTTAGCACGTTGCCTGACAGGAGACTAATGGAGAAAAGACAAGTAGTTCAGCAAAACTGACCGATCCATTCACCACATCAGATAGTATACAAATGTTTCCTACCTGCAGTCTTCCACCTCTGGGAAGGAGGGAAGGAGGTACGTTTTTCCATCTCTTCTTTGGAGGCCAAACTTATCCATTAAGATTACACAGCATTCATCACTGAAGGTTTTTTAAGTGGGGGAGCACAGATCAGATCTCTGCCTGTGTTTGGGGAAGATTATTTTGGCTCCTGGGAGAATGGATTGAAGAAGGAAAGGGAATAAGCATTTATTTATATAGAACCCAGCACTGTGCTAATTATCCCCATTTTACGACTGAGGAAGCTGAGGAAAACAGAGGTTAAGTGACTTGCTACAGCTAGTAAGCACCTGAGGCTGGATTTGAACTCAGTCTTCCTGACTCCAGGCCTTACTTAGTGGCAGTGAATAGAGAGAGGAGAAACTGGAATCAACGAGCTCAACTATGAGATTATTACAATATAGAGTGGTGGCTGGGCAGGTATAAGGAAGAAGATTAAGGTGAATGTGGAATAAACCAGAATTGGAAACGGATGGGAATTCCCTCTTAATACTGGTTATTGGAATCCATGACCTGCTTCTCTTCCTGTACAGTGTCCTTCCTGGACCATTATTGAAAGTTTTATTGACTCAGTCATCCACTGTTCCCAGCCCTGCTTATCAATCAGTGTTGGGGAAGGTGTCATCCAGGCCCAAGACATTGGTCACGTAGGCAAGTGACCTTTGCGCTACTCCTGCCTACAAATTGTCACGTTTTTGCTACCTTGGAGAGGTACTGAGATGCAAGGGTTCAACCTTTTTTGCTGAGTGGACCTATCCGGATTGTCTTAAAGTTGCTTATTAATGCTTATAAATGCCACCTTGAGACTATTGCTGATCTTCACTGGTCAGCCAGATAAGGTGTTGCTACCTTGATGCAGTTATAATAAACTTCTTGCCTCATTAATCAAGGTGAAATGAAGAATTTTGCTTTCAACAACCGTGTCTAGTTCGGTCTGGCATAATCAATCAGACACTACATATCTGTAAGAGGGAATCTTAGGCACATTACAGGTATACAATTTAATATTACTCAGTTAGGCATAGAGTTAAAACATAGATCCATCTTTTCTGGGCAAACTGTTTCATTGCTCTTTATCCTTGTGGTTATTGTCATCGTCCATAGCCAGGTTTGGGTTATATTTGTTCTCTCATTTCCTTGAAGAAGGATCTTTTCCAATATGTGCTCCAGGTACTTTCTCAGATTTGTATTGCAACTGTTCTGCTGGAAGCTTCTTGAGCCTTAATTCATTTGAAGTCCCCTCCACAACACCCACAGAAATTCCTTGATTAATCTTTCCTCTGTTTGGGGCACGTGGTATCTTGACTACTTTTCTTGTACTGAAACTACAATCTTGAATGATATTATATTAGCTCTCTCCTAATCTCTCTCTTCCCTACTGAGGCTGCAATTTCTTAGGACTGAGGAAAATGACTCAGGCTCGGCTCAGTGCCTTCTCCCTTTTGGAGACTATCTCACTGCTAGCCTCACCCTACTTCCAGGCCTTTTACCCCAGGTCTTACATAGCAGCAATAACCCTTTAAGTCTATGTATGAGTATTGTAATTCTTCCACACACTACAACTTACATCTATGGTTAAGCAAACTCCATCTGTCTATTATTATTACTACCCTATCTCTATGCAATTAGGTATTTTGCAGGGGAGAGCAAATTTGGGAAATTGGCTCCTCTGAACCCTTTCTGTCCAGGACGGGGGCAAGAACTGAATCCTCCCAGACCACACCTACTTCCAACCACTAGGGCCATCTCTACCAAACACCCTCTCCTTTCCTCCCCAATTCCATGCATGTCTCTCTTTTTGGAGGTTGGGGGGAAGGGAAATTTTTTAGTACCAAATTCCTGAACACTGTAGTCTCTTAAGCCAGACCCAATTTACAACAACGGCCTGCTTCTTTTAGATGAAAACTGGAAAAATGGTACTGCTTTTTCCCAAGAGAAAAAAGCCTACAATCCATTTTAAAGTGAGTATTGAGAGAATTGTGGAGTTATTAATAGAAATGAAAATCAATAACTAGCTCACTGCATCCAGATGATATCTAACCACCAAGCTGGAAAGGGAATCTTTCAGCCAATTAAACAACTCCTGTTACCCTCCACTCCTTACACTCTTCAAATACACACTGCAGACTGACCTAACTTTTATATTGAGAAAAAGCAACATTGAGAATAAAAGCAACAGCTTAGCACATAATAAGAAATCAAATTAGAAACAAATACCTGATTAACAAAAATGAAAAAAACATTTATTAGGTGTTTACTATGTACTAGGATATTTAATGGGTTAGTACAAGCATTACAGAGCCCATGTTCATACTTCTCATTCACTCCATGTATTCAATCATTTGCCAAATCTTGTCATTTTTATTTTTCTACAACATCTCACTAGTCACACAGCCGCCACCTTAGTTTGGATCCTTATTATCAGTCATCTAAACTTTAGAAATGACTTCTGTTACCCTGCATCCAACTGAACCTTTTTTTTTTTTGTGAGGCAATTGGAGTTAAGTGACTTGCCCAGGGTCACACAGCTAGTAAGTATCAAGTGTCTGAGGCCAGATGAACCTGTCTTCTTGAGTTGCCATATTTTCAAGAAACACTGGTGATATGCAGGTGGCCCTGAGTGTGTAAAGGATAAAGCCCCCTGTCCTGAACTGACATTATTTGTTGTTTGCACACTAAGCTGAACTCTGTGTGTCCTTGGGTGTCAAGACAGGCCCCAATCAGTTTGCACAAGACTGAGAAACTGCTTGTGCAACTGGGACCCTTGTAGATAAGCAGATCCTCCTGTCTTCATGGTCTAGCAGTTCCCAAGGGAAAAGAATGCTGCTTTCACCATTGCCTTGCTCCTCCCCTTTGGGAGGGGTTTTACTTTTTTCCACTTTTACTATACCTTTCCCCTTCCCATGCCACACCCATTTAGGAGGAGATTCCTGTTTTCTCATCCTCCCTTTGTTATACTGTCATAAATATACAAGCTTCTGTATGGATTATGAACTCTGCTCTGGCTTTGGGTTGGTTCATGTTCATTTCTCTTTTAATAAGCCTAGTTTTCACATAAGTTTTGAGATGCTGTGATTGCTTGTTGACACTTCCAAAGTGATTTCTCTGCTTTGACTCTCTCTTTACTCCAATCTTTTCTCTACACAGATGCCAAAGGGATTTTCCTTAGGTGCAAATGTGACCATGCCACTCTCTTACTCAAGCTACTCTACTTGTTCCCTTTTGCTGCCACAATAAAATATAAATTTCTCTGTTTACCCTTTAAAGCCCTTCACAACCTACCCCAAATTACCATTATAGCTTTATTGTACATCCCTCCCTTTCCTACACTTTACAGTCTAGGCAAATGGGCCTTTCTTCTGTTCTTCACACATGGCACTCTCATGCCTTTGCACTAGCGGTCCCCAATGCACATCCAACCTTAAGGAACTACTTCCAGGAAACAGAGGTTAGGGTTCTGCTCTATTACTTCTTCTGGACTCAAGCATGATATGTCAATGAAGCTGGTCCTGGGTGGCCTGGCGTCTAATGAGAAGGGGTTAGGCTACCTGTTCTCACACTTTTCAGTTCATTAAACCTCCTCTGTGCCCTGGGAAAACATAGCTTAGGTTATAGTTCACCTCTAGGTTTTTTCTAAAAACAGGGCAAGTAAATGTATTCTCAATGCACAATATACACCAGTATAGGTCAGGTAATTTGTTGCTATACACAAAAGAAATGTTAAACATCTAAGACCCCCAGCACAAATTTAAAAGAACAAAGTAAAAAACATAACTGATTTTATAATCTACTGGAAGGCCAATATTTAAACTTCATCAGAACATAAATGATCTTGGAGGCCTGCTAACTAGGCATTTCACATTTTGCCTGAGAGGTCTGCAACTAGGCTTGGACTAATTTTCTCCAAGAGCACTGGAGCCAGGGGCTCTTTTTCTTTCTTAGGTGCAAATGTGACCACGCCACTCTCAAGCAACTCTAGTGGTTCCTTATTACCGCCACAGTAAAATATAAATTAGCCTTTAAAGCCCTTCATAACCTACCCCCAAATTACCATTATAGCAATGACTCTATGGGACCTCTAGTCCTCTCAAACTCACAAGATTGCCTCCTAGCTTGGACACATCTACCTAAAGGGTGATGCTCTATCACCTTTTTAGGAAAGGAAATTTAAAAGCAGACCTAGGTCTAAGCATACTAACTCTTAGTTGAATCCATTCTTCATATGCAAGTAGACTCATGAGGAGTCTAGAAACAGAGGCCACACAGGGAATGCCAGTCAAGAAGTGATCCTGAAGCTGTTTCTTCCTTTACCTGACAGAGCACACTGTTCCCCCGATACTGTCATGAGATCAGGGTAGGACCACTCAAGGTTTGCTACATCATACCAAAATGCCAAGACTTCACAGCATCTTCATGGCAGAAGCAGGCCTTAAAGTTTCTTTCTTTTTTTCCCCCAATTTCCCAATTTTTAATTTTTCCCAATTATGAGCAAAGATAGTTTTCAGCATTCACTTTTATGAGATTTTGAATCCCAAATTTTTTCTCCCTCCTCCTCAAGACAGCAAGCAATCTGATATAGGTTATAAATATACAGGCCTTAAAATTTCCATATAGTCAACTGGAACCAGGAGCAACAAGCTGGGTATGTTCTATCTGATGGCCCCTGGATTGTCCTTCCTCCTCTCCTCCATTTCATAGATTGCCTTCAAGCTCTACCTTCTACATTAAGCCCTTCCTGATACCCTGAAACACTCAGCCTTCTTCTAACTACCTTATATTTAGCCTTTGAATTTATTTGTGTTTATTCTCTTTGTATTTATTCTATGTATATATTTAGTGTCTCACCCTTTAGAATATAAACTCCTTGAGAGTAGTAGTTATTTCTTTCATTCTTTTTTTTTGGGGGGGAGGGGTTAGGCAGTGGGGTTAAGTGACTTGCCAGGGTCACACAGCTAGTAAGTGTTATGTGTCTGAGGCTGGATTTGAATTCAGGTCCTCTTGAATCCAGAGCCGGTGGTCTATCCACTGCGCCACCTAGCTGCCCCCTTTCATCCTTTTAATTAATATATCTAGCACTTAGCCACAATGCCTGGTACATAGCAGGCATATAATAAAAGTTTATTGATTAATTAGTTGATTGAAAGTTTCAAA